CCTGGAGTCCCGGGATCGAGTCCCACATCGGGCTCCCTGCTCGGCAGGGAGTCTGCTTCTCCCTCTGACCCTCCCCCCTCTCATGTGCTCTCTCTCTCTCATTCTCGCTCTCTCAAATAAATAAATAAAATCTTTAAAAAAAAAAAAAAAAGCATTATTAAAAAAAAAAAAAAGAATTAGGTACGTGGTTTTTATATTTGAGAGAAAGCTTCTAGTTCAGGGTCCCCATCTGTTGTAAGCCCTTAGTAATTGTCGGGTGACAGGGGATGGCTTACACGGAAGAGATTCACTTCATACTCGTAGGATATTCATTCAGCCACTTCGAGTTCCAAGTAAACTGCTGTGTTCCCTTACCTATCCGGCCTTGGGTCATGGCGGTGCCTAGGGGCCGTGGTCAAACCTGTGTGTCTTGCCCTTTGGCACAGCATTTCCCTTCTAAAGATGCCTTAGGCCCTGGCATTACTTATGCTGGGTCACAGGAACCTGGTACATAAGAGAACCCAGGAAGTATTTGCTTACTGAATCATAAGAAGAGGCCTACTTCTGTTTCATGGAGGCTGATCGATCTTGTAATAATTTTCACTCAGCATATTATTGATGGTCTTATTTGTCTGAGGATGGATCCAGTTTCTAAGAAAATCCACTTCATTGAGAGGTGACATACCATGAACTTTACCCATTTTAGGTACAAGATTCAGTGGTTTTGAGCGTATTTGTAGACTCCTGCAGCCATCCCAACAATCTGATTTTAGAACATTTCTGTCACCCTAAAAAGCAATCTTCCTGTTGGCCATCACTCGCCATCCTCCCCCACCTCCAGCGCTTCTGTCTCTGTAGGCTTCCCTGTCTTGGCTAGCTTATGTAATGTGGCTGTCCCATCTGCCTGTCTTCACCCAGCATCACGGGTTCAAGGCTTGTCCCTGTTGCAGCACGTAGCAATACTTTCTTCCGGTTGCCAGATGATGGTCCCTTGGGTGGATATACGACATTTGATTCTTTCAGCAGTCGATGGACGTTTGGGTTGTTTCCACTTTGGGGCTTGTGATAACGCTGCTGTGAACATCCGGGTACAAGTTTTTGTGTGGACATATATTATCATTTCTTTGGGGTAGGTACCCAGGAGTGGGATGGCTGAGTCATGTGGTGACTGTGTTTACCATTTCAAGAAACAGCCAGACTTTTCCGGACTGGCTGCAGCATTTTACATTCCTGCTAGCAGTTGTAACAAAGCATGTGGGAGTTGCGATTTCTCCACATCCTCACCAACACTTGTTCTGTCTTTCTGAGTGTAGCCATTCCAGTGGGTGTGAGGTAGCATTTCACTGTAGTGTATCTTCAGCCTTGTCATGTAGTAAGACTTACTTACTCTAGGTAGGAGTCCACAACCAGATATGTGATGTGCATATGTTTTCTCCCAGTCTGGGTTGTTGTCTTTTTCACTTTCTTAATGGTACAATTTAAGGAACAAAAGTTTTAAATTTTGGTGAAGTCCAATTTATCAATTTTTTTTTATCACATGCACTGTTGTTGACATGTCATGTCTTAAAAAAAATCATTGCCTAACACAAGGTCACAAGCAAGGGGAGAGGCAGAGGGAGAGGGAGAAGCAGACTCCCTGCTGAGCAGGTGCTTAACTAACTGAGCCACCTAGGCATCCCCTAAGAATGTTTTCTGATCATAATTGGGATTTTTATATTAGGCTTTACTTTTGAGCATGCAGGTCTGGCTTTAAGATCTACTTGTATAGGGCACCTGGGTGGCTCAGTTGGTTAAGCATCTGCCTTCGGCTCAGGTCATGAACCTGGAGTCCCGGGATCGAGTCCCCCATCGGGCTCCCTGCTCAGCAGGGAGTCTGCTTCTCCCTCTGACCCTCTTCCCTCTTGTGCTATCTCTCATTCTCTCTCTCTCAAATAAATAAATAAAAATCTTTAAAAAAAAAGATCTACTTGTATATTTAAGTTAAAACACATTTCTATCATGTGATATTAGCATAAACATAGATGCACAGAACATTGAAAGGTGGTAAGACCTAAAAATATCCCCCCACATATTTGGATAATTGGGTTCTTATAAAACACAAAGGCCATGCAAGGGTGCCTGGGTGTCATAGTTGGTTAAGTGTCCGAGTCTTGGTTTCAGCTAACGTCATGATCTTGGGGTCGTGAGATTGAGTCCCATGTCCAGCTCTGCGCTCAGCCTTGGTTCCGTTTGTCCCTCTCCCTCTGCTCCTCCCCGCCTCTTGAAAGCACACGTGCTTGCTCTTTCTCTCAAATAAATAAATAAAAATCTTAAAAAAACACACACACAAAGGCCATGCAGTGGATGAAAAATAGCCTTTTCAACAAAGTGCTGGAACAATCAGATATCCATATGCAAGGGACGCCTGGGGGGCTCAATGGGTGAAGTGTCTGCCTTCGGCTCAGGTCATGATCCTGGAGTCCTGGGATCGAGCCCAGCATCCGGCTCCCTGCTCAACGAGGAGCTGCTTTTCTCTCTCCCTCTGCCCCTCCCCCTGCTCGTGCGCATGCTCTCTCTCTCTCATAAATAAAATCTTTAAAAAAGAAAAGATATCCATATGCAAGAAAAATCACCTTTAATCCACACACCTCTTACCACATGCAAAAATTAACTCAAAATGGATCAAAGACCAGTGAGCAGCCACAGCTGTAAAACTGGAAGAAAACAGAGGAGAAATGTTTCCTACCATGGATTAAGTGAAGATTTCTTAGATGTGACCCCAAAAGCACAATGTTTTAGAGCAAAAGGATAAATTGAACTGTTCTTCATAAGGTGCCACTGAGTGAGCACAAGGACAAACCACACAGACTGGGAGAAAATACTTAAAAAGTGTATATGTGATGAAGGATTTATATCCAGAACATAGAATGGATTCTCAAAACTCAGCAACAAAAGAAAATTAAAAATTGGCTAAAGACTGCACACACCCTTCCCTGTTGTAGGTATACAGGCGGCAGAGACACATGAAAATGTGCTCGACCTCGTTAGTCATCAGGAAAATGCAAGTGAAAGCCACAATGAGATACCACTACAAACCTTAGAATAACTAAAATCAGAACGACTATACCAAGTATTGGCAAGGACAGGGGAATGTAAAGTGGTACAGCTAGTTTGGAAAACAGTTTGTTGGTGTTTTTAAGGTTCAGCCTACCCTTGCGGTGGGATGTGGCCATACTGCTCTGTGTTCCACACTTAGGGACTCGCCAGAGAACAAGGAAAACACATACCAAGACTGATACGTGAGTGCTCCAAAACTGGAAACCAAATGTTTATCAACAGAGGAATGGAAAAATAAATCAAGGCGTATCCACACAGAGGGCAACTACCCAGCCATAAAGAATCAAGTACTGGGGCGCCTGGGTGGCTCAGTTGTTAAACCTTTGGCTCAGGTCGTGATCCCTGGGTCCTGGGATCGAGCCCTGCATCGGGCTCCCTGCTCGGCGGGAAGCCTGCTTTTCCCTCTCCTGCCCCCCCGCTTGTGTTCCCCCTCTCGCTGTGTCTTTCTCTGTCAAATAAATAAAACCTTTAAAATAATTTAAAAAAAGAATCAAATACTAATGCACACAAGAACTTTGGGGAACCTGAAAACAATTCTGTTGAGTCAGAGAAAGCAGAGTACATAGTGCATGCTTGCATGTATGTAAAACATGAACTAATCTGTAGCGACGGCGGCCTGGGGATCAAGGGCATCAGGGAGGAGCAGCAGGAAAAGGCCACAGTGGGGTAATTTTTTAAATCGTAAAGGTTTCCTGAGGCCTGTGTGGGGTCCTTCACCCTGTAGGGTAAGATAGCGCTCGGGCTGTGGGATAGTGCTCCGTCATGATTCTGCAGCTGTTCAGCAGTCAACTTGCCTTATCGCCAAGTAGTATATCCTAGCATCTCAAGAGAAAGTCCAATAATGTGTTGAACATTGAAAGATCGTTGAATTACGTATTTAGCTTCCCCAAGGTAACTGAAGAACAAAACTAACAGAATCAGAATTTCAGCTAGAAAGAACTCTATCTCTTTATGAAAGAATAAATTAATGGTTAAGTCTGAGTGTGTTCATTAGAAAACACGAGACCCATTACTCAGAGGTGTGTCTGCATTTGAACAACGGTCTTATCACTGTGAGCTATGGGAAGCTTCTCCAGAATGGTTGAGGGCTATTCGTGGAGGAATCAGGAATGTTCCTAAAGAACCTCAGTATCAGGCATCGTTTGGGGCCTGCTCTTTGCTCCTGGTACCGAGAGTCTGGTGAGCACAAATGAGGGCAAGAGTTTCTTCTGGGGGACTCAGGGAAGGCTTCCTGGAGGAGGCATTGTTTGCGAATCCCACTATGTGTAAATGAAGAAAGTATTAGGGAGAAACGAACTACTGGGAGCAAAGAGAAGAAGGCTTGAGGCTTCTAGGTAGTTTAGGGAACGGCAAGAGGTGTGGTCAGTGGAGTGTGGGAGTCGTGGAGAATGTGAGGAGAGAGGGAGCTAGGATGGGAGCAGTCAGGTCCTTGAGGGCCTTGGTGCTGTGGTGAGAGATGTGGGTGGGTTCTGCTGCAGAGGACACCAGGTGAGGGTCAGCAGGTGTTTAGGGAGATCTGGCAGCATCGCACAGGGTCCCAAAGAGGGGAAGTTTAGAGACAGGAGCAGTTAGGAGGATGCGACATTCGGCCCTGACTGAGGACAGGGTAACGGGCGGCCCCCCCGCCAGAACTCGGCGAAGGTATAGCGGTCAGAGGGAGGAGAGAAACCCGCCGGAATTCCCAGCTCGTGTGGTGGTCCCCATCTGGGCCGGAGAACCCTGGCAGCACGTGGGTCTGGGCGTAACGTGGGCTGGGCTTCCCTGGAGGTTATACTCTCATGAGGAGGTACTTTTAATTTTAATAAAGTCTAATTTATCGATTTTTCCTTTTAAAAAAAAGTCCTCTTCCCACATCTCATGTTAGTTGTACTTTTTAAAAGATTCTATTTTATTTATTGAAGACTTGACCCTCCCTTCTTCTCTAGATATCATTGACCCTGCGATCCTGCGCCCTGGACGTCTAGACAAAACACTGTTTGTTGGTTTGCCACCCCCCGCCGACCGTCTGGCCATCCTAAAAACCATTACAAAAGTGAGTAAAGGAAATGCCGTGTTGTTGTGTGTTTCTCTCCTTTTAGATACAGACAGGTATCTGTAGCTTTAAATATTTGCTCAGCCTGTGTCTCCCAAAGAAAAGGTGAACGATTCTGGTAATTGAAGAGACTGTCCGTTCTTTTTTATTTGCTTAAAATAAAAGGGATATTTAGAGTTAAATGCTCTACTGATATATTTGAGATTTTACTCTCATCGCACTTCTTTGTTCTTTTAGATTTTTGATTGTTACTTTAGAGAAATTGCTCTTAGAGGAATTTGAAATGGAATAGAAACTTTTGGAGCGGAGAAGTGAATAAATACAGGCCCGTTGTAAATATCCAGGGAAACTGAGTCTCAATCACAGTGTTGAGTCTGCCTTCCATGTTTCTAGATGCCAACTTTTTTTTAAAAAGATTTTATTTATTTATTTGAGAGAGAGAGTGTGCATGAGTGGGGGGAAGGCCAGAGGGAGAGAATCTGAGCCCGACTGTACACGGAGCACAGAGCCTGACGCAGGGCTTAGTCCCACAAGCCTGAGATCACAGCCTGAGCTGAAACCAAGAATCGGACAAGATGGTTCCTGCCTTTATTTGGTTTCCACTAGTATCTGTATCGGCAGAGGAAGATTCTGGGCCGTCATTACCTAAAACTGCATAGAGCCATGTCTGCCACTACCTCCCGAAGGAGGGGGCACGAGGGTGACCAGCTTTGTGGGTGCAGGCCCCAGTGAGAGCAGTGTGGAAGACTGCCTGGAGGAAGTGAAGCTAAAGGCTGTGAAGTGAGGTGCACTGGATGCTAGCCAGTGTCAAGGGGTTACGTGTGAGAACTGGGTCTGGTGTGAATGAACAGGACGCTGGTTGGACCGTAGAGTTGAGGGGCAAAGACAGGAGGAGAAACTCCACTTGGGCCGCTGAGTGGATGGGGGTCTGGGAACAAGGAGCTGATGCTGCCCGAGGTCGGTCTCCAGGCGCGAGTCGGTGCAGAGCCTGGGAGCTCAGGAGAGCCCTCTGGCCACCACCAGCGTGGCTGCCGGTCAGAGACATGAAGACACGTGTCTTCAGTGCGGTGCTCTCGACCTAGGGCGGCCTGACCACCAGCAGCCCACCCCCGGGCAGCCCCTGGGGACGCTTGTTGGGGGCTCAGGCCGGGGGCGAGCTATGGTGCACGGACCAGCCCCGCAGCACCAGGTACCTGACCCACGACGTCCGCAGTGCCACAGCCAGGTAACGCAGCTGTCGTCGTGCGTCCTGCGTCTCTGTAGCCAGCGAGTTCGGTGACGGGTGCACGCTGCCGCCTTTCCGTCCCCGCCCTGGGCTCTGTCCAGAAGCTGTGTTACTGAGGTGTTGTTTGCTTTGGTTAAAGCATGTGTGTACAAACAGACATACAAGCACATGCACATGCTCCTAATTTGTTTCCATGTGTTCCTTGTAGTTCTGATGGCCCGATAATCCTTCCTTCCATTCTTGCCCCCGGGGTAGCACTAATTAGAGGCAAAGACTGGAGGAGGCGTGCCAGACCGGAGCTGTGTGGTGCTCAGGGCCACGCACATTCGGACCCAGGGTGGTGACCAAGCACTGCTGCCCTCGTGTTCTCCTCTGTGGGTGCTCGGCACCGCGGGACAGCCTGACGCTTCCTTCAGCTAGAATCCCGGTGCCGTTTGCCACAGTTATTAGCCCTCAGACTCGGATAAAAGCAGCCCACCTCAAAGGCAAAGTTATTAAGAAAATAAGAGAATACACTATTGTGCACGTGAAGGATCCCTCGGTCAACAAGCCTGTGCACTCAGTGAGGATGGGAAACCCTCGGACACAGGCCTTCCCTCTGAGGGGCTCGTCTCCTAGACGACAGGGTGATACGCACGCTTCTAAAGGTGAGGCCCCTGACGGTGTCAGGCGGGGCCCGAGGTCAGGGGCCCCGCTTCTGTCCGCTGCCTTGTATTTCCAGATGTCCTGTCGTGACCATATAGTATTTGGTGGGGGGGGGTCTTTTTTTTTTTTTTTTAAAGAATAGTTACCTGGCATAAATGTGGAGATTTAGGAGGAAGTATGTAGAATTAGAGACAACGGTCCTTTGGGCAACTTCCACGCACAAAGTTGTGAATACGGAGAGAAAAAAAACAGAAAAGGATATTTTAATAGGAAAATCAGTGTGACTTTAAAAGCAGCTTTCGGCAGCACTGTGGTCTGTTCTCGCATCTGTCAGTGATAAAGGCAAAGGAGGGCTTTCGGTGATTTCCTCTCTGACCTTAGTGGGTATTTTTGCTTCATTTAGGGGTGTGCTGCGTGCTCCCGCGGGAGCCTCAGAGCCTCACAGCCAGACCTGCAGGGGGACGGTTCTCAGCGCCTGGGCACCTGCCCACCTGCCCACGTGCAGAGGCTGCTCCCCTTGCAACACCCACCCTGCCCCCCTCCGCCTCCACCCCCTTCCTCTCTGCCTCCACCCCCTCCTCCCTTCCTCCTCCCCATTCCTTCCTCCTCCCTCCCCTCCCTCCTCTCCCTCTGTCTTCCCCCTCCCCGTCCTCCTCCCTCCCTCCCCCAAGGGCCTGGGATGTGCAGCTCACAGTCTGTGTTGACAGCTGGAGCCAGAGCTGGCAGAGGGACAGATCGCAGAACCCTCCCGACTCGACTGCAGGGACCGCCTGCCTGCATACACTCTTAGCAAATCAGCCTGACCTGAGAAAAAGTGTCATTTTCAATGTTTATCCTTTCGGTTCCAAAATTTGCCAGATTTTTGCTCAAACTCCCAGATTGTTGTATATACCATTTTCTCTTATTAATACGTGAAGTAAGAGGGGGAGATGACAGTAAAATTCTCTCATTTTGGTCTTAGAAGTCTGAAAAGACTTGTAGGTCAGAACAACTTCTCAGTATCTTCTGGAGTCTGTTTCTTAAGAGAAAATTAGCAAAACAAATTACTTATTTTGGTATTTCTGGTAATGATGTGGTAACAAGATGCTTATCACCAAAAGCCCCTTGGACAAAGGAATTTTTTTTTTAACTTCTATTTCTTCCTTAATAAATGTAATTAAAATGTCTGCCAAGTGTTCTGAGACAATACATAGTCTTTAAAATAACGATAAAATCACAGAATGACCCACATTCTGGTATTCTTTGGTACCCATACATTCCAATCCTGCTTCCTCTTTGCCCTCCAAAATGTATTCCAAAGGCTATTCTAGGGGTGCCTGGGTGGCTCAGTTGGTGAAGCATCTGACTCTTGATCTCAGCTCAGGTCTTGATCTCAGTGGTGAATTCAAGCCCTGAGTTGGCATGGAGCACAACTTAAAAGGTTATAATAACCAAGCCTAGATTTGAGGGTGGAGGCTTGGTTACATCTCATCATGGTGCAATTAATCGATTTTATTTAAATTATTAATGCAATTAATCCATTTCACCTTTTTTCAGGGTGAATCAAGAGTAGAAAGATTTAGATGTCACGTCATTATTGCCTTTATCATAAAGATCTTTCTGAGGAAACCAACATGGAGAGTAATTATGATGTAGAGCCATTGTAAACATAAACTTTATTCTTGTATGGTTTCTTCTTAACTAGTGATTTTAGGATCATTTTGCAGCAGCTTGGGAAAGCTGCTCTGTGTTAGAGCAAACTATAATATTTTGGTAATCTATGATATTATGAAGTCTTTTTTGTATCTTTTCTACCTTCATACCAGTAATTTGTGAGGAATCCTGTAGTTTGCATTTGAATGACTTCAGTATACGTCCACCTTTTGATTTGACCTAAGGAAGCACTAATAGGTTTTGAGTGTTGCCTGTGTGTTTGAGATGCCTGAAGTCATTAAGACAAGACTTAACCTCAAAAATTGGAAGCCAAGTAACTTGTGCAGAAGGAATACACAGAAAACTTTGGGTGGTTTGGTTAGAGCATGATTAGGGCAGATGTGTACACTAGATTTTGTGGTTTTCAAAAATTGTAATAAAATTTTTTGTGCTATTTTAATTTTCAGTAGCAAATGTGTGTGTAGAGGATCTTATTAAAATTGACTTATTTGAATACCTCTTAAGAAAATAAAATAACGGTAAAAATCCCAACCCAAAATTCCCCATTTTTTAAAAAAAGATTTTTTATTTATTTATTTGACAGAGAGAGACACAGCGAGAGAGGGAACACAAGCAGGGGGAGTGGGATAGGGAGAAGCAGGCTTCCCTCTGAGCAGGGAGCCTGATGTGGGGCTTGACCCCAGGACCCTGGGATCATGACCTGAGCTGAAGGCAGACGCTTAATGACTGAGCCACACAGGCGCCCCAGGAAATAAATCTTTTTAAAAAAAATAAAAAGGAGGGATGCCTGGGTGACTTAGTTGGTTAAGCATCCGCCTTCGGCTCAGGTCATGATCTCAGCGTCCTGGGATCAAGCTCTGATGTGGGGCTCCCTGCTCAGCAGGGAGTCGGCTTCTCCCTCTCCCTCTCCCCCCCCACTCGTGTGCATGTACTCTCTCAAATAAATAATAAATAATCTTGAAAAAATAAAAGTAAATAAATAGTACAACATGAAATACTTTTTGAACCCATGTTCTATAACATCTAATGTGTAATCAGAATTATAGGAATAATAGTGTAAATGGGTCCTCACTTGCTTTTTCTTAATTGTGATAAAATACATTTAATTTAAATTTACCATTTTATCCATCTTTTTAATTGAAGTATAATTAACATAGTGTAATATTAGATTCTGGTGTACACTATAGTGATTCAACACTTCCATATGACCCCTGGTGCTCGTCATGACAGGTGCACTCTTCAGTCCCCATCTGTTATATCACCCATGCCCCCCCCCACCCCCTCTGGTGACCATCAGTGTGTTCTCTAGAGGTAAGAGTTTGTTTCTTGGTTTGTTTCTCTCTCTCTCTCTTTCTCTTTTTTTCCCCTGTGCTTATTTGTTTTCTTTCTTAAATCCCACGTATGAGTGAAATCGTGTGGTATTTGTCTTTCTCTGACTGACTGATTTCACTTATCATTATACTCTCTGGCTCCATCC